CCAGAGAGTAGAACGGCTTAATATAACGTTTGATGACATCATCGAGTGTTTTAAGTCATAACTCTAGATTAAACAACTATCCTGAGCTGAGTTTCTTTAGTCTGGACTAAATCTCCTTTCTGTCCAGGAAATGGCAAGTCTACAAGTAGACGCGGTCACGTTCCGTCACGTTGGTTTACCTCTGGTCACAAATTGAGGTTGGAAGCAAAGTTAAATACATGTTCAAAATATGGGTACTATGTAGTTGACATATTTTGCCAGCAGTCATTAGACCAAGGGCGGGTAATCCGCATCACACTGGATGTATCGCAAATGAACTTATTTGTCCATTCAATTAGCGATTATTTTCTTTCCAGTCATAAACACCCATTTTAAATGTATTTTAAAAAACGTAGGACGGCATGCGCTATTTCTTCACTATTTTTGGACTGATTTGTAACACCTTTTTCGATCACCAAAGTGACAAATGAGGTACATCCTTAACGTACATAAATATATTCAATGGCTTTTCTGCAATTTAAATCAACACAATTTATTGATGTGTTTGGCGGCACGAGTAGATGAGAATTATGTACACTAGGAATTGAGAAATAACTGTGTACATCGTTTATTTTTTTTTTAAAAACTGACTCGCGATACAAGTAGCCCGTGAAGAATTGACTCACATCGGGTTGGCCACCCCTGCACTAGACAGTGAACACTCAGTATTGGACTAATCAAAATACTCCCCCAGATCAAATGCCCCCATGTATTTTACTAACCAAAATACTCGCCCAGATCAAATGCCCCCATCACGTGATGATTGGTTTCAAAATGTGCGTCTCAAAACGAAAAACCCATAAAACTCAGGTCTGGTGGACTACCTCGAGGTTAAACTATAGATTTATAGATCCACAGTCATTTGATACTTATTTATCTGTGGATCATTATCTTATTTTACAAAAATTGTGTTACTTTGAAACCACAATTTATGGAATCGTCTCATTATTTGAGTTATACTTCAAAGATGCTATAGACAATGATGATTATGTCGTGTTCGGATCAGACTGATCATTAACTGTTAGAAGTGTCACGCATTACAAATAAACGAGAACTGATCTATAGAACAAATAAGCAATAAGTGTCATGCAATACAACTGAGTGCTAAATGTCATGTAATAAAAAGAAATGGGTTATAAACATTATCGGTAAAAGTTGCAACAATTTTGACATTTTGATTTTTAACTTGACGGGCCATGTGGGGGAAAATACACGGTGGAAAAAAAAAAGAACAACTTACAGGACTTGTGTGCGAGAACTAACATAAAAAAATAATCTTATCTTACGTGATAAGAAATCGTATAAAACTGCCACGTTAGCAGAGATTACAGTTTTTGGTGGCTGTCTAAGATGGACCTGCAATGACCCATTTAGCCTTGTAGGCTTCCGAGGAGGACCACAAATTGTCCGAACATTGTCTCGTTCACACACGGCTCCAATCAAAACGTTACCAACTCTCCTTCACGTGAAATTCTTAAAATCTAGTATACATTAATTGTGTGTGTGCGTGTGTGCCATTTTCGTATATCAAAATAATAAGGTCTATACCATTGGGTTGGTAAGGGTAGGGTAGATGTTTAAGAGCTTTATAACAAAGCAGAGGACTAAGTGCCAGAGAGTAGAAAGGCTTAATATAACGTTTGATGACATCATCGAGGGCTTTAATAAAGATTCTCAAATTGGTGACTTGAAATGGAATTGATAATGTAACAGTACGCGATATACAGTTGGCTTGGTGCAACCCAGTAACTCTCATATTAATACACGTTTGTGAGAGTCTTTAAATCTGTCATATTACGGCATTCAACCATAATTACATTATCAGTGTTATTATTATTAGTGGCCTTATATAGCGTGGTACCCCAACCAATATTTCTATTGTTTTCGTATTTAAAAAGCTGTCGGTTTTTATAGTTTTTAGGCTATGGTATCAGCTGAGTAGTGTTTGATTAAGCCAAGTGAAGTTATTGAATAATTTCTTCTCTTTTGTTATTTAAAAAAAATGATCGCTTCCCCCATTAAATTATGATTGGGAAACACATTTTTTAAAAGCTTTTTCACAGTGCACTAATTATATTGCCGAATTGGATGCTTTGGGAAATCCCTGAATGTATTTAGGGCACAGTGACTTAAACAAGTTTGGGAACCTCTGGAATAATATAATTTTTTTTTAATTTTATTTGGGAGCAGGCATGATTTTAAAATTAGTTTTAAGATCATTGAAATGTACGCGCACTATCTGGCCGGAGATCACAGCTTTGGTGCTGCTTTGGTCCAAGGGGAGACAACTTTTAAGATCATTTAAATGTACGCGCACTATCTGGCCGGAGATCACAGCTTTGATGCTTTGGTCCAAGGGGAGACAACTTTTAAGAGAAAGTATTGTTTCGATTTCCTTGACTCCATATGTCATACCGCCATATACGCCAATGACAGACCCAGGCATGTAGAACTCTCTTATTATGATAGACACAGTGACTTATAGCTCCCACATTATGATAGACCCAGTCATGTACTACTCCCTCCAAATGCAGTCAACCACAAGACTGGTCATTTGGTAATGGCATGGCGTCCAAAGATCTAGATAACAATTTTTTAAGCTAATCTTTAATTTGGCCACTTGTTTTGAAATGACGCATTTCTCTTATCTTACAAGATAAGCATTTGAAAGAAATATTTAAAATCTTTATATTACAAATTTTTACTATCATGAAAATAAAAAAATAACATATTTTTAAAAATTGTACTTTGAATAAATGAAACATGTCAGAATTGTGGTGAGCGTAGTCAGTTCTAAACAAGTTCTGTACAAAAATTTAATTAAGTTTAAGTACAATTATTGAGTGGTCAAAAAAAAAGCAACAATCAAATTCATTTCATGTTGCACTATCTCCTGCAGTATGTCACCTTCAATTATGTCCCCAACAATATTTCACCAGAAATATACCACCAGCAATAAACCACAAACAATATGCCATCAGTAATATGCCACCAAATTTATGACACCAGCAATATGACATCAGCAATATGCCAGCAGCAATATGCCTCCAGCAGTACGCCACAAGCAACCTCTAACATGCCTTAAAAAATAAAAGTCTTATTGCAGGATGCCCTAAAGATGAAAACAAACAAACTTCTAGTTGAAAGTGATGACTATAAGAAAAGTTCATCCGCGTACCTGTAAAGATCTAGCGAAATATTCTGATCAAGAAGCAGGAAATGAATTTTTCCTTATTGCGCAAGGCAAGTAAACAATGGAACGACAGTAAGGCTAGCGTTTAATCACCATTAAGGAAACAAAAAATGTGTTAAAACACAATTACCATGAAGCAAGGTAGTGAGTCGACCGTCCTCCCCACTTCCCCATGAACTTTTGTAGTAAAATAATGTGTGTTCATTGCAAAATTTCATTAATTTAAAGTGAAGCAGTCATTGTTCAAAAAAGAGATAAAATAATACTCGTCTCATATATCATTAATGTATGTCCTAATGTGATTAAGTTTAGAAAGTCAGGTCAATAACCTTTTAAATTTTATCATTCGAGTGATCTGTACATCGCATATTTTGAGTTTTTTATCTGTAAAAAAAAAAGTAATTATAAAGTTCACATTTTTTAGTTTACGTCATGCATAACTAAGATACACCATCTTAGTGTGTGAATATTTGTATTATTTAGCACGTGAAACTTCTGTGTTGAATGCATGTTTCACGTGAAACCTGTGAATATCTATCCGTAGGGTCGAACACTTGACGTAGACAATGTTAAGTGCAAGTAGATATGTCGGGAGTTAAAAGTTTCATCTATAAATCTTTGACCCTTGGAATAATTTTTTTTAAAGAAAATTAATTTTAAAATATGATCACGTCAGCCATTTCTATGCAGGGGAGAACCGAGAATCCACGAATCATTGGAACAGACATTTAGTAGAAATCTTAGCAAATTTTTTTCGGATGTGTTATGGAGTGAAAATGATTGTAATTGTTCATAATATCTGTATTATACAAAAAACATTTTTACTGCAAGGTAGAGTTTTAGTACGGTATGTTGCTGGCAGCCTATGGCCAGTAGAATAGCTGAGATTTGCTTTTTTGTTGCCGTGTAACAATCCACTATGAATTTTCAAATCGGTATTGTCCTCCAGGAAGACTTAACACAAATGTGGACTTATAGTGGCTACAGATCCACGACTTAACACAAATGTGGACTTATAGTGGCTACAGATCCACGACTTCACACAAATGTGGACTTATAGTGGCTACAGATCCACGATGTACTTACAATGTATTTAGGTTTCGTTCAATTAATTTGTATGTTTTAACTTGACATTCTTTGTCACGTAAGCTCACAATTTAAATATTTGTTTACATTAGTTTTTTTTTTCTATTGCAGTCTTGAAAGTTTAGAAGATATGTGGTCTTCAAACAAGAATAAATTGACTTTATCAACGATTGATTTGGAATTAGCACAGATCTGTTGGACATCAACATTAATTGATTGATTTTATATTGGCATCCATTGATTAGATTTTGGCATCGATTGGTTGAGTACTATGTTTATATTCCAAGAGTTAAGCAAAGTGAATGCTATACGTCTTGTGGATCCTAAACAACTCACAAGATCAAGCAATGGAGAAAGATAATCGGGCTGCTTTTCCACAAAGCAGCTACAGTTGCGAACAAACTGAGATCTTCCAAAGTTGAGTAATTCCTTTAATCAATATTCATAATTTTTTCATTGATTCACCTTCGCCTGTAAAAAATGATGACTTATCATATAGTACCTAATTAAAATTGTTTAATTAAAAATAACGTTTAATACAGATATTTAAATGATTTATTTTCATAAGTAATGTTCACTTTTATTTCAAATAAGGATAACTACGCCTCTGGAACTCATCCTGTTAGTTTTTTTAGTTTTTTTAATAACCTAAAAAAAAAAGGTTTGACGGAACCTGGGACCAGTTTCCTATAAAATAAGGCAACTATTTTTGGTCCACGTCTATCATCCAACCGTGAGACACAATACAATGGCGTCGTTGAAACTATGCATCGTTGTCCTGGCCTTGGTGTTCGCACTCACTGAGTGTAGTATCAACAAGAAGAACTTCAAGAAAGCCCATGTCCGGGGCACCAGGAGTCTGAAGGCTGAGAACTACTCCAAGAGACAAGGTAAACCACTTCGACTGGTCTAGTAATACATATGCCAAACATAGAACTATTACCACTGAGATTACGGTTGGCGAGGGGGGTAGACATTCAGTTTAAACTGTTTGCTGGTAAGATTTAACTTTAGACAGAACAGAAATTGGTAAAGATCTACCAAGGAAAATTAAAGGGAGCTATATAAGTGTCAGTGTCATAGCCCTAGCATCAACAAATAATCCAATTTAAGCACATTTATATAATTTAACTGTATTATTGTATTTCATGTTCTTTAAATAACACGATATCTATATCACTGAGACTAATGCTGGTTGTTTTCAGCTCTCCAGATAAACTCTCTAGACTAAAATAAATATTGTATATGCTAAAAGGGAGAGAATAAGTTTTTAGTTTGAAATTTGCAATAGTGTTGTTTTGTAATAGCCAATATTTTGCTGTGGGCGTTATTTTTTTGTTGTAATACCCAATATTTTGTTCTTATGCACAATATTTTGTTCTTATGCACAATATTTTGTTGAAACAGACAAAATTATGTTGCATTTGTGATTTATTGCCACGTGTCAAATCTCTCCATAATTTATTACAATTTCTTGTCGACTTAATGGATGAATCACTTTAAATAAGATACGTTTGTTCTGTCTCCTTTCAACAGCATCTTGCGGTCCCAATGAGTTCCATTGTACCAACGGCCAGTGTGTCCAGCTTGACTGGTTCTGTGACACGGACCGTGACTGTAGTGACGGAAGCGATGAGTCCCAATGTCGTAAGTGGAACATACAAAAAATACAAAAAAAAACCTCTTCTTTTCATACAACAGCCACTAGGAACAGAGCGGTTCTAAAACCATCACCACTGATTCTAAGCTCCAAATATGTTTTATTACACGACGTTTGATTTGCAAGTGATGTAGTTTGTTTAATGACGTTAACATGTTATTAAGTTATCAGACATCTTTTTTTCCAAGCACGTGATGCCGCAATTATATTTTGTATGTGTTTCCTACCTCCAAGAACACGTTCCAACGATCTAAATAAATTTTCTAGTTTAAAAAAAAAAAGATTTTTTAAATCAATTTAATGATAGGACGAGATAGGAAGGAATGTTTCTGTCACTGATAGGATGGGGGGGGGGGGGGGGGGGGGGGGGGGAGGGGCCTCCTCCCACGGAGAAGGTAAAGTGACCACCCCCCAACCCCCCCTCCCGTGAAAATTATGTCCAAAAATAAAGTAAACGAATAATTTATTAAAAATAAATTGTTATTTTATAACTCTTTGATTAAAAATTAGTAAACTCGTGTAATCAATGAATATCTATAATCTTGATTTATTTGATGATCCGAATATTTAAGGCAACTCTAAGATGATCACTCGATTCTAAATACCGTATTTTTTTTCTCCTAAAAAAAAAACATGCCTCAGGTGGTTTGAAGTTTAAGCCGCATCATGACTTCCCGTTGTTCACATATATTGATGACGTCATTTCTTTATTAGTGAACAACCAGCTTTTCTTGAGTAAATCTCTCTCTAAAGAGGTGGGCACTGCCTTCGTCCACCTCGACTGCATTTCGACTCCCCCGCCCCCTTACCCTGGGTCGAAAAATGTGTTAAAAATGTGGCAAACATAAAATTTTATTTTTAAAAAGCAACGAAATAATAAATTGTTTTCAACGGTTAAGATTTGTAAGTGGTATCTCTAATCAAATAACGTAAAGGAAATGGTGAAACGAAGTAACATGCTGCACATGTTTGGTGTAGCTAACATTCCTATTTTATACCGGTATTTGTGTGTGTGTGTGCGTGTAAGTGTGTGTGTGCTTGTAAGTGTGCGTGTGTGTATGTGTGTGTGCTTGTAAGTGTGTGTGTGCTTTTAAGTGTGCGTGAGTGTATGTGTGTGTGCTTGTAAGTGTGCGTGTGTGTATGTGTGTGTGCTTGTAAGTGTGTGTGTATGTGTGTGTGCTTGTAAGTGTGTGTGTGCTTTTAAGTGTGCGTGAGTGTATGTGTGTGTGCTTGTAAGTGTGCGTGAGTGTATGTGTGTCTGCTTGTAAGTGTGTGTGTGCTTTTAAGTGTGCGTGAGTGTATGTGTGTGTGCTTGTAAGTGTGCGTGAGTGTATGTGTGTGTGCTTGTAAGTGTGTGTGTGTGTATGTGTGTGTGCTTGTAAGTGTGTGTGTGCTTTTAAGTGTGTGTATGTGTGTGTGCTTGTAAGTGTGTGTGTGTGTGTATGTGTGTGTGCTTGTAAGTGTATGTGTGCTTTTAAGTGTGCGTGAGTGTGTGTGTGTGTGTGCTTGTAAGTGTGCGTGTGTGTGTGTGTGCAACATACAGTGATAAAAAGACGCCTTTAAGAAACACACACTGAGTGTTCCTATTTAAAAGGATTTTCTTGACTTTGCGAATATATTAGTTTCCTAAAACTGTGTATCCATAGTTTGGTTCTATACAGGTTACAATGATTAAACTTAGCAGCAGCCAAAAGCTCAACATCAGCTAAAGTGAATTTAGTTGATGCTGGGTCAGAGCGGGAAGTTATAGTTGATCATGGGTTAGGGTTATGCGTAATTGTTGGCATTTCCCGGTGGCGTAAATTGCATAAGTGCCACCCTGGGGTCGCTAAGACTTTTGCCACCGACCCACCCCCAAAAAAAAATGAAAATGATCCCCCAGGGGTGGACATACCGCTATGTCCAGCCTTCTTACGCCGCTAGGACTGCCCACCCGAACATCTGAGATGCCGTCCCGACGTAAGAAATTTGCTGAAAGAAACAATGCTGAAATCCCTAAATGTTTTCTTTCCAGCAACCGACTGTACCGGTGAGCATCAACTCAAGTGTAACAATGGAAGATGTATCACCAGGGAGTACATGTGTGATGGTGATGACGACTGTGGGGACATGACTGATGAGACAGACTGTCGTAAGTATTGAGTTGACATGACCGATAGTCCGAAGCCAGGGTTTCCCAAACTTTTTTTTTTTCCTTCTTCCAATCATTGCGTCCTTCCTGCATCTGGTATTTCCCAATGCACAACGTGTCAGAATCAAACAAATGCACTACGGAACAGTGAGAGATGCAAAAAATACTTCTGCTCCCAACGTATAGTAAATCTCTCTATTTGTTTTGTGATGAAAATACAAACGTTAAGAAATACTTGAATAGCCTACTTAAACAAACAGCACCGTTGAATGTGAATGTTTGAAGACGTGTCCAATCTACAGCTACGTGTATACGTAGACATCGATACAGCTGAAGTTATCGCGTATTATTTCATGTTACTGTTTTTTTTTTAAACACTTCGCGGTGCCCCTGTGACGAAGTGCACAGTTTGGGAACCGCTGTCCTAACCCTTGTTGAGACAGTTGCTGGTGAAAATCTGGTCTTGATTCAGGGACTTAGCGCCTGTACCAGTATAACATAATTATATTTTTTTTTAAATCTTTAAAATCGTAAAAGTAACGTACAATTATTTTATTACAATGTTTAAATATTCTGTCACTATAAGGAAACCAAACAATTGGCTTCATTTGGCATCTAAGAGTTGCATTTGCTGTCATTAATAGTTAGGTATATTGTGAATTATATCGACCTTTATATTCTTGTAAGGCTGTAGTCAGTACGCTCTAGAATGGTTAGTACCAGCCTGATCAAAATATGAATGTTGTGAAACGTGATTATCCAATGCAGACAAGGTTGAATGCACCAGCGGTGAGCTCCACTGTGACAACTACCTGTGTATAGAGAACGAGTGGGTCTGTGATGGAGACAACGACTGTGGTGATGGGTGGGACGAGAGGAACTGCAGTAAGTCAAGCGGTTTTCGTGGAAGTGGGGTCTTTTTAGATTTAGAATTGATCCATCCACACACAGTACTATAACAGCAGTTTAAATAAAATATCTTTTAATTAGGTTCCAAGACATTGATTGCCCTGTTTGTATGTCCCTTGACATGAACTCATTTCCGTCTGTCTTCCGCCCCATGACACAGCCGGAACGTGCAGTGCAACTCAGTTCCTGTGTGCCGACGGCTCCAGATGTATTGATTCAAGATGGCGCTGTGATGGCGACTTTGACTGCAATGATGACAGTGATGAACACGACTGTCGTGAGTGCCGTACAATATACTAGAAACAAAATGTTCCATAACAATATTTTGCGAATAAATGTTTTATACAATGTACATCAGCAGACGAATCAATATTATCATAGGAAATATAGTGTTAGTATATGTAACATATGTAGTATTCGTACTGCTCCGTATATATAGGACCATGATTATGGTACAAAATATTTGTGTCTGAGACTCACAAACATTCTAACTTTCGCATTACGGAAACGGCCTCACGTTATGACCCTATAACAGTTATGAGCTATTTAAACATTCTAACTTTCGCATTACGGAAACGGCCTCACGTTATGACCCTATAACAGTTATGAGCTATTTGTAACAAAATTCTTTAATCTAACACTGGTCCTGATGTAAAAATCTCAATAGAGTTTTTCTACCATACTAAATCTTATCACTTTTTTTGACTAGCTTATTCTATTATTTTATGATAGCGGTTAGGCTGTTTCGTGTGAGAAATGTGTGGTAAAAAAAAAATGTACTTTGAAATTGGGCTCCATTTTATACCGCATTGAAGCAATGTTATCCTTACCGGTAAAAAGTGGCGTAGGAAGGGGGGGTGCGAAAGGTGCGGGGCGCGTCCAGGAAGAGGTGGAACTTTTTTGTTTAAAAATGGATGGGCGACAATCTCAGCAACCTGCGGCCATACTTTGTTGAAGTTGGCGTCGAAAATCTTGGCCCAATCCGGGCGGCACTAACTCTAACTACGCCCCTGCCTGTAAACGATCTATACAATTCATCTTCTTGACCCACTCACAATCACATTGGGCGACCGAGCGCGCTTTGTATCATGCGCATAAAGAAGGGTAAAGTAGATCGAGCATTAAGCAAAGCTGTATTCGTGTATTACTACGGATTATATTTACTTTTATTTTAAAAATTTAAAACATTTTTGAATGTTTTAATATTAAAATTAAAAATTTATTTCATGAACATGTATTTTATCATTTTAAAAAAATATTACTAATTGATAAGACTAACCTATCGCATTTATAAGTGGACTTGGCATTATAGAGCCTTTTTTTTTTTAAACAAAACGTCAGGCGGGTCATAATTTTATTTAAATCACGTGTCACTTGAATCGCATTATGCGCGGTGATATACAATTGCATAGGTGATGGCTTTACAGCCCTTAACCATTTAGATAGGCGATGGCTTTACAGACCTTAACCATTTTGATAGGCGATGGCTTTACAGCCCTTAACCATTTAGATAGGTGATGGCTTTACAGTCCTTAACCATTTAGATAGGCGATGGCTTTACAGCCCTTAACCATTTAGATAGGCGATGGCTTTACAGCCCTTAACCATTTAGATAGGCGATGGCTTTACAGTCCTTAACCATTTAGATAGGTGATGGCTTTACAGCCCTTAACCATTTAGATAGGTGATGGCTTTACAGCCCTTAACCATTTAGATAGGTGATGGCTGTATAGTCGATATTATTTTTTTTTGGTGTACAGCCGTTAACCAAAAAAAAAATAAGTGACAACTGTGCAGCCGGTACGTGTTTATTATTGAATACATTTCCCAGCTAATAGCTAAACAGAAACGATCTATTTGAGATAACATGTCATTGGCTGAATGCTGAATTCATTTATGAATGGAAGGAATGTAATCACCTCTCACTGGCATCAATTCATGACGTCATAGCCACCCTTTCTCTCTGACAGCGTGTGATGAGACCACACACTTCAAGTGCAAAAACAGCGTTTGCATCAACATCAACTGGAAATGTGATGGAGACAACGACTGTGGTGACGCCTCTGACGAAACAGGATGTCGTAAGTTTAAAAAAACAAAACACTTATATTGGAACTTTCAGTATATTATTTTGTTTTGTATTTTGTTGGTTTTTTTGTGAGTTTTTTTTTTGTGTTTTTTTTTTTTNTTTTGTAAGTAAATAGACAAAAATTGTGTTTCTTCAGATACAATTTTTTTGAACAAATAATTTCCCACGAATGCAGCGGATTACAAATAAATTATTCACCAACTATGGCATTTAAAAATATATGTATTCATGTATAATTTTCGAAGGCACCTTTAAATTGATGACGTCATTGCGTATCTCTCTCCCCCCCCCCCCTCAGCTACTCTCCACCCCAGTCTCTGTGACGACATGATGTCACTCCGTGACTGCGCCTTGATGAACGAGACCGCACATCCCATCTGTCTCGATGCTGTGGAAGGACACAAATATTGTCGTAAATACTGTGGGCTGTGCCTCATCGACCCCAATGTCACTCACCCTTAAACTGTCAGAGGAAATATCATTGTCTTCATCCATGCAAATATTACACCTTCAATGCGACTATTGCTCATGTAAATGAATTTTGAAAAAAAATCATTATTTTTCAGTAAATCCTTAAAAACATTTATCACCTTGTTATCGTCATTTCTTTTGTACATGTTGGCATCCTGTACACAAAGCAAGCCAGGTTTTGTAAATTTTGCCTTCTTGTACACAAAGCAAGCCAGGTTTTGTAAATGTTGCCTTCTTGTACACAAAGCAAGCCATGTTTTGTAAATGTTTCCTTCTTGTACACAAAGCAAGCCAGGTTTTGTAAATGTTGCCTTCTTGTACACAATGCAAGCCAGGTTTTGTAAATGATGCCTTCTTTTACATAAAGCCAGCCAGGTTTTGTAAATGTTGCCTTCTTGTACACAAAGCAAGCCAGGTTTTGTAAATTTTGCCCTCTTGTACACAAAGCCATCCAGGTTTTGTAAATGTTGCCTTCTTGTACACAAAGCCATCCAGGTTTTTTAAATGTGGCCTTCTTGTACACAAAGCAAGCCAGGTTTTGTAAATGTTGCCTTCTTGTACACAAAGCCATCCAGGTTTTGTAAATGTTGCCCTCTTGTACACAAAGCAAGCTTTCAATTTGAAAGTTAGCATCAAATGGACAAATCAGTTGAAAAATTAGTATGCAGATTTAAAGAAAGGTTTGAGTTTTAAAGTTAGTATTCAGTTTTAAAGTTAGTACTCAGTTTTAAAGTTAGTATTCAGTTTTAAATTCAATATTCAATTTAAAAGTTAGTATTCAGTTTTAAAGTTAGTATTCGGTTTTAAAGTTAGTATTCAGTTTTAAAATTAGGTTTCAGTTTTAAAGTTAGTATTCAATTTTAAAGTAAGTATTAAGTTTTAAAGTTAGTATTCAGTTTTAAAGTTATTATTCAGTTTTAAAGTTATTATTCAGTTTTAAAGTTAGTATTCAATTTTAAAGTAAGTATTCAGTTTTAAAGTTAGTATTCAATTTTAAAGCTAGTATTCAGTTTTAAAGTTAGTATTCAGTTTTAAAATTAGTATTCAGTTTTAAAATTAGTATTCAGTTTTAAAATTAGTATTCAGTTTGAAACAGCGGACAATTTTCATTGCAATGGCTGCTACAAGTTAAACTTGTGTATAACATAAACATTTGGTGCCTAACCAAAAGGGGTGCTATTCGCAGGCTCAATCAGAATGGTGATCATGCACAGTGATTTGAAAGAAGATAATTTTATACATTGAAAATAAGAGTAAATAATAAATCGAACAGGAAATGTTTACATGTTTTTAATAATTGTAAAGCGCTTAGAGCTGTAAGGTAGCGCTATATATAAATGCCTAAATAAATAAATAAATGTCTACATGTACGTGTCTGTATAATGACCACAGAAAATTAAGCAACTAAGCAAAATTTAATTCTGTGCCAACATTCTGCATGTGGTTTATTTACTTTACCGTGTATTATGAGACAATACCAAGTGGGTCCAGGAGTTAACAGACAAACAAATGTTATTGTCTTATTTTCTAGCGTTTGCTTCAACCAATCAGTGCCGGATGGACCCATTGGACATGAGGCACGTGCCTCGGGACCCCCACACATTTTTTTTAATTAGATGTGATTATAAAATGAGTGTCTTTTGAAAACCTAAATTTAGCACAGGACCCTACAGGGAATCTGTAGCTCCCTAACTCTTCAAACTGCCTCTCAACCTAAATCACCCTGAGACGCCTTTGTCCTGTTGCTCCCTCTGCTTTCAAACTGCCTCTCAACCTAAATCACCCTGAGACGCCTTTGCCCTGTGGCTCCCTCTGCCTCAAAACTGCCCCTCAACCTAAATCACCCTGAGACGCCTTTGTTCTGTTGCTCCCTCTGCCTCCAAACTGCCCCTCAACCTAAATCACCCTGAGACACCTTTGTTCTTTAGCTCCCTCTGCCTCCAAACTGCCCCTCAACCTAAATCACCCTGAGACACCTTTGTTCTGTTGCTCCCTCTGCCTCCAAACTGCCCCTCAACATAAATCACCCTTAGACGCCTTTGTCCTGTTGCTCCCTCTGCCTCCAAACTGCCCCTCAACCTAAATCACCCTAAGACACCTTTGTTCTGTAGCTCCCTCTGCCTCCAAACTGCCTCTCAACCTAAATCACCCTGAGACGCCTTTGTTCTGTAGCTCCCTCTGCCTCCAAACTGCCTCTCAACCTAAATCACCCTGAGACACCTTTGTTCTGTTGCTCCATCTGCCTCCAAACTGCCCCTCAACATAAATCACAATGAGACGCCTTTGTTCTGTTGCTCCCTCTGCCTCCAAACTGCCCCTCAACCTAAATCACCCTGAGACGCCTTTGTTCTGTTGCTCCCTCTGCCTCCAAACTGCCCCTCAACCTAAATCACCCTGAGACGCCGTTGTCCAGTAGCTACCTCTGCCTCCAAACTGCCTCTCAACCTAAATCACCCTGAGACGCCTTTGTTCTGTAGCTCCCTCTGCCTCCAAACTGCCTCTCAACCTAAATCACCCTGAGACGCCTTTGTTCTGTAGCTCCCTCTGCCTCCAAACTGCCTCTCAACCTAAATCACCCTGAGACGCATTTGTTCTGTAGCTCCCTCTGCCTCCAAACTGCCTCTCAACCTAAATCACCCTGAGACGCCTTTGTTCTGTAGCTCCCTCTGCCTCCAACCTGCCTCTCAACTTAAATCACCCTGAGACGCCTTTGCCTTGTTGCTCCCTCTGCCTCCAAACTGCCTCTCAACCTAAATCACCCTGAGACGCCTTTGCCCTGTAGCTCCCTCTGCCTCCAAACTGCCTCTCAACCTAAATCACCTGAGACGCCTTTGCCCTGTAGCTCCCTCTGCCTCCAAACTGCCTCTCAACCTAAATCACCCTGAGACTTCCTTGTGCAATGTTTCAAAACTGAGTACAAAGCACATTGTAATACAGCCCAGGTTCTTTGGGTAATACAAGTTGATTGTTTGGGATGAGTGCATCATGGCTCACGGCGTGGGGAGTAGTACCATTTGACAGAACTCTTAAGGACATCCGGAATAGTCCAGTAAATGCCTTATGGTTGGATGAATATGCAACTGGCCGGACACACTACACGCTTTTCCACACACTCAACACACAAAGCCAAAGTGTTTTAAAATACACTAACATTCAATTTATAGTTTTTTTATTATATTTGTTATTCTCACAAACACCGTTGGGAAGCTAGGATGTTCAGCTGGTATGTGTTATTCACAGACACCGTTGTGAAACTAGGATGTTCAGCTAGTATGTGTTATAGACCCAGGTCAGATGTCTAGGGGGGGGGGGATATAACTGGTTGTATTGACGGTGCACGTATTGAGTCACTCCAAAGTTACCTCCCATATTTTTTAACACACCGGTAAACAAGCTATGAACTTTATAGGTAATATACAGGGGCGTACAGGGGCGTACCGGGGACCTATGTCGCCCAGACCAAAAACTAAATCTGCGCCCTTGTCTAACTTGAGAAAGAAATTTTTTAAATATAAGTAAGAGTCAGCAGATGATAATGCAGCATGTCTACTCAATACAGGTAAACTCAGCTATAAGTCAATTAATTTTGTTTAAGTATCAAATTATTTGTCGAACTCACTGATTTGTGCGCCCCTCCCGCCCCCTTATTTTTGTTTTTTTAAAGGTGCCCACGGCAAATCATGCCCCACCATCAGTGCCCATCGGGCATCTTACAGCCTCTATCTCTAGTGACTCAACAGTATGCTCACGAATTTAATTCATTTATTGTTATCTATTTAGAGTTAATATGTGAGACCAAGAACATAAACAAAAATATATAAATAATACAATATGTACATTTATTTTTACACAACGTTTTAGTGGCAGACATGGTTTTAGTGGCATGTCATGTTTTTGTTGTATTTTCATTTCTATTGTTGGGGGGGGGGGGGGGGGGGATCGGCAACAATAATGTCTCGCTTGGGGAAGCATGAACCCCAGCTACGCCCCTGCTGGTAGATCCGGTACCGAATTGTTTTCCTTGAAATAATTTCAGTTTCAAATCGTTTCAGCATCGACGTGCATCAGGAAGTGAAACAAACATGGCTGTCTCGGTGAACAAAGGACTCAACACCGTGGTGTTTCTTCTGTATTCATTGATATCAGGTTTGTTTGCTTTGTTACGCTTATGTGACTTAGGGTTTCTAGTCCCATGCGTTGAGTATAACATGCGTTCATACTTACATATATTATAACACTTACTAGAAAAAATAAACAATGACAGCGGGCAATGAGTGAACTTCCCATCTACTAAAGTCTGTAAAAGTTATTTGACAAAACATGCCTTCAAGTAACGCACTTAATCAAAACGCAGCAATCATTAGCACCATTTTGGGGGGATTTCATTTTTTCCTGTCTATTCAACACATTGTTACAGAAATACACAGTATATCTAAATATCCAGAGAACTATTATTTGTGGATAAATAAATGGATATTTCAATGGTATAGGTCCCTCATGTTTTTCGGTAGTGTCTCGTGCATAGGTGTGTTGATATGTTGTAGCTTGACCTACATGCAAACACCTACAGAATAAACGTGTTAACTTGATCTGAGCTCTCTAGGAGTTGAGGAATCTGTTAAAATGTCGCCCCATCAAGTGTGATGAATAGCGTTCATTCGATTCGAAGTACACGAAAACATTCAAATTATTTTCCCTCTTCAATATTAATAAGTAAAAATATGATCTTATGCTTGTCTAGGTTGTGTTGGTGGTGAGAGCTGCTATGACTTTACGACTTTCACCTACAACTATTGTGCTGGTGAATGTTGCTCTTATGACAGAAGCCAGTGCTGCTCTGTCAGAGTCAAGTAAGTGCAGGGTTGAACACTAAACAGGGAACTAATGTTAGCGATACATGTTCCTCTGCTTGTGAAGTTTGTGTGTCATCTGTTTCATTTCTTTGGGTCATCTGCCCATGTCATCTATTTGTGTCATCTGTTTATGTTATATGTCCATTTCATCTGCCTATGTCAGCTGTCCGACCCATATTTCCATGTCACTTGGCTGTGTCATCTGCCTGTGTCACCTGTCTGTATCATCTGCCTGTTTCACCTGTCCATGTCACCTGTCTTTGTCGCCTGTCCATGTCACCTATCTGCATCATCTGTCTTTGTCGCCTGCCCATGTCATCTGCCTGTGCCACCTATCAATGTCACCTGCCTGACTCATCTGTCAGTGTCATCTGCCTGTGTCACCTGCCCATGTCACCTGTCTGTGTTATCTGCCTATGTCATCTGCCCATGTCATCTGCCTGTGTTACCTGTCCATGTCACCTGTCCGTGTTATCTGTCTGTGTCATCTGCAAATATAATCTGCCTGTGTCACCTGCCCATGTCATCTGCCTGTGTTATCTGTCTGTGTCACCTGCCCATGTCATCTGCTTGTTTCATCTGTCCATGTCATCTGTGTCACCTGCCCATGTCACCTGCCCATGTCATCTGCCTGTGTCATCTGACATGAGAAAGGTGAAAATGTCAATGTAATCACGGCCAGTGTTTAATGTTGCTAGGATTGTTGAAACAAGGGACATCATCACTTGGAAAAAACAAATTGAATAATCATGTTGGTAACACTGTCACAGGTGTCAGAGTCATATGACATGGACAGATGTCAAGTCATATGACATGGACATGTGTCACAGTCATATGATATGGACAGGTGACACAGTCATATGACATGGCCAGGTGACAGTCATATGACATGGGCAGGTATCACAGTCATATGACATGGACAGGTGTCACAGACATATGACATGGACAGGTGACACAGTCATATGACTTGGGCAGGTGACACAGTCATATGACATGGACAGATGACACAGTCATATGACATGGACAAGTGACACAGTCATATGACATGGACAGGTGACACAGTCATATGACATGGACAGGTGTCACAGTCTCGAGATCACAGATAATTGTATTGCTTTTTGTAAATCATTTTAAGTTTTAGTTCTTTCGTAGTGACCTGTTCTGATTAAAATTGTAGTATTCCACTACATTCCTAATGGAAACACATCACATTTTACACACCCTGTCAATGATATAATATTTTTTTTTAACCATTTTGTGAAATCAATGTATGTTTCAGCATTGGACTAGTAACAGGGCTTTCTATAGGAGGCATCATCCTAGTGGTCATCATAGCTGTGTCTGCCTGTATTTGTCGCAGGCGCTACTACAGCGGTGTCATTGTCCACACCCAGCCTGCTCAACCATCAGTTGTTGTGGCACAGAGTGAGTCTCTTTCTTTACAAGTTACTGGCAAAACTAAATTATTTAAATTTAAATTTGAGATCTACATAATTATTTTTTAAAGCTTTCATCATATATATTTTTAAATGGTTTCATTAAATACAAAGGCTGAATTAAAATTGTCAGTCTCCCCAAGCAGGCTGAATTAAAATTCTATGCTACAAAAAAAAATTAAATTAAAGGATAAAATTTAAATATCAACTATGTATTTTTCTTTTACATTTCTCAGGTACAACAACCAATCAAAGTGGTATGATGGCAACAGGGGGCTACCAGCCCGGATACAATCCCCAGCCTTATGGAGCTTATCCGCAATATCCTCAGGGATATCCTGCTGCTGGCTATGCACAAGGACCTCCAAGTTATGATGCTGCCAGTCACAGGGAGGGTGGCAGAGTCAATCCAGGCTACAAAGGCTGAAGTCATTTTGACTTGGTGCAATCAACTTGATATTTTTTCATAAGTTTCCATTGAACACTTTTCCTCCATCTTTACTTTTTTTTACTTTATAGAAACTAAAATACTTGAAAAAACTCTTTTAATCAAATAAATATGTTTTAAAATATGTTTATATATATCAATTTGGTTTTAAGGGCTCTAATTTGGATTCATTTACGACAATGATATGTATTTAACATAAGCACAATTTTTTTTGTAATTTTCATTTAAATGATATTATACCATTACGGCTATTCTGTAAGAAATAAAATAGCTTTTATCAAATGTTATATTTAATGGTGGGATTTTGAAATATATTTTTTTTTTACCCACTTGCATATGAGAAAAGAACTTTTCCTCCCTTACATAACTCTGCCATGGGTTTTTCAAGAAGTTACAAAGATTTCTTTACCTGGGCTAATATATTATAAAAATAAGTCATTTGGAAGTTTGCTTTTATTTAACTTTATTTCTCTCTGCAATGTTGAAGTTACAAAGATTGTTTTACTTGGGCTAAGATATTATAAAAATAAGTCATTTGGAAGTTTGCTTTTATTTAACTTTGTCTCTCTCTGCAATGTTGAAGTTACAAAGATTGTTTTACTTGGGCTAAGATATTATAAAAATAAGTCATTTGGAAGTTTGCTTTTATTTAACTTTGTCTCTCTCTGCAATGTTGAAGTTACAAAGATTGTTTTACTTGGGCTAAGATATTATAAAAATAAGTCATTTGGAAGTTTGCTTTTATTTAACTTTGTTTCTCTCTGCAATGTTGAAGTTACAAAGATTGTTTTACTTGGGCTAAGATATTATAAAAATAAGTCATTTGGAAGTTTGCTTTTATTTAACTTTGTCTCTCTCTGCAATGTTGAAGTTACAAAGATTGTTTTACTTGGGCTAAGATATTATAAAAATAAGTCATTTGGAAGTTTGCTTTTATTTAACTTTGTCTCTCTCTGCAATGTTGAAGTTACAAAGATTGTTTTACTTGGGCTAAGATATTATAAAAATAAGTCATTTGGAAGTTTGCTTTTATTTAACTTTGTTTCTCTCTGCAATGTTGAAGTTTCAAAGATGAATAAAAAATACTATATAGATAAAGAGATAATCTTTTTTTTTTTTTAGGTGTAATGGAACTAAATGGGAACAGCTGGAACTAGTTGACATTTAACATTAAAAGTCATTTCTCCTTATTTTAGGGGTTTGAAACACCTGTAGACGACTGCTATAAACATTTTTTATTGGATACCAATACACAACTTTATAATGCAGTCTGGCGCATCAAATAAATGACATTTAGAAATGACCAATTAAAAAAACTATTAAAAAATTACATTTTGGGTTGTATTTGAAAATGCAAACAAACGCATGCATGCACATAACTACTTAAAACTACTCATACATACATACATATATATATGTGTGTGTATAACGTATGTACAACTGGAGGTGACACATTTTAAGGCCTATACAATATATTTACATTTTTTTTAAAATACTCCAACTAACCCTGACCCCCCCCCCAAGAAAATCATTGATATCAAGCATTATGGTAGGCCTACTCTTTTTATTCTTCACTACAGCAATGACCTTTGTACTCTTTGCAGTTTCATAATAAAAAGTCTATGAGACCAAATCTATGCAAATGATAAATATGTGTCAAAATACCTAAATCTGTTTTAGCATGACATTGAAAGTAGCTTATTATGTTTTATTTGATCACAATATCAGAAATACATTTTATCATATTTTCTTTTTGTCATGGTTTGGTGAATTTGATTTTAAAATCTTGATTTAATATTTACCCTATAATAAAAAAAAAAAAAAATTTGGGTAAGACAATAAGGAAAATGAAATTATCAAAATGTATGGGCAGTAACTCTAAATAATTGTTCCTTGTCACGTTTACTTTGGAGGACATGTCAAAGAGAGGACTATCACGAGTAATAAAGGGGGGGAGGGTGTGGGAATGAATGTAGGACATTCTTCTGGGTCATCAAACTAATGGGTGCAAATATATTTTTGGATAATGCTATGCTTGATTAGAGACACAGTAGATGATGCTATGCTTGATGAGAGACACACTAGATGATGCTTTGCTTGATGAGAGACACAGTAGATGATGCTATGCTTGATGCGAGACACAATAGATGATGCTATGCTTGATGAGAGACACAATAGATGATGCTTCGCTTGATGAGAGACACAGTAGATGATGCTATGCTTGATGAGAGACACAATAGAGGATGCTATGCTTGATGAGAGACACAGTAGATGATAGTATGCTTGATGAGAGACACAGATGATGCTATGCTTGATGAGAGACACAATATATGATGCTATGCTTGATGAGAGACACAGTAGATGATGATATGCTTGATGAGAGACACAGTAGATGATGCTATGCTTGATGAGAGACACAATAGATGATGCTTTGCTTGATTAGAGACACATTAGTAGATTATTGCAAGCTTGATGAGAGATACAGTGAATGATGGCATGCTTGATGAGAGATACATGGTGGATGATGCTATGCTTGATGAGAGACACACGAATGGACGATGATGTGCTTGACAATAGACACGCCAATGGATGATGCTATGGTCAGTGGGAGATATTAACTTGAAGGCGATAGTGTCGCCAGCAGACCACTGTGGTAAATAATGAGAAAGGAATGTCTGCTTTACCAGCCTGGTAGATACTTGACATAAATATACTTGCCAAGTTGAGCTTTTTCTTGTCATTCCCTAACAGAGAAATAAGAAAATTGTTTTTAAACTTCTCAGTCTATGGAAGATATTTTAAATATTGTCATAAAAGGAATGTGTTATGTTACCTTTTTTTTTAATAAGATATTTATGACATTATTAATCGCAATGCAATCACATTGTTAAAGGAAAATAACTCGGTCTGATCGCATAGTTAATCATATTTATGAATTATTTCCCCTTAAAACAAACAACGTTTTCGAGAACAAAGTTGTTTTATTTTTTGTTTTTTTAACACTATAATTTAAACGTACAACACATAGAAAATATTTTAAGTTCTTGTACAACATTCAAGCTATCACTATTTTAATTTGCATCTTCATAATCATTGATGTGCTGAATAAAATAAAAGTGCAATTTTAATGAGATTCGCTTGGAATGTAAGTGCAGGGAAATTGCTTCTCGACCTGTCGGTTAAGATCAAAGTAGGTTATTTTTTTTTCCAGTCACGTCACCAAAGGTGTTTGGGTGGCTGGCAATATCTCATCTGGATGTCTGGTCTTAGCCGGGAAGATCGCTGGAATAATGAGAGGGGGGGGGGGGGGGCTGGCCGAAACAAAAGTGCGACAAAACCACAACCCAGAAGAAATCCTCCATTCTTAATTCATGATGTTGTTGTTGTTGTTTTCAAATGGAATGCTTCATATATATGTATAATCTCTTCTCGATATCAGCCCATAAGTCAACATAGAGTGGTCTAGCTTCTCTATCCCTTTACAGTCTAACCTCTGGCCTCCTACTCTCGGAACCTAATCCTAGTTTTGACTTTCACTTGATGGGCCTTTCCGTTAGAATCAAAGTGCTGCGCTACTTGTCACTGAATGCCCCCGAATGTTATAATTTATATCCATATTTTCGGTTTGTTAGTGCGCATGGCGTGAAGTTGTTGTTCTGAACAGCGCCGTATAGTTTAACATAAACATGTTCACGCCCCATAATTTCTTTCAAGCAGTTCTAAATTTAGATAATAATTTTAAAGACTGGTGTTTATGATAGATCTACTTTTGAGTCTACGTTCAACTAAATGACATGTAATGTACAGAAACTGACAAGCAATTGACAATTACAATTAACTTCCTTTTACATATTGTATTTCGAATCATTTTCGACAGCACACCCGAACTATCACACACTGACCAGATGTCCGAAGTGGTCCACGATTGGAAAGCTGAAGTGAGAGAAATGTCTCTTGGATTTTTTTTCTCTTTAACTGGGAACACAAAGTGAATGTTTCTCTGCTACCTTTACCTCTGAGTTGACCTACCTTTGGAAGGCGAGCGTAAACAGCAATACCTGGAGATTATAGGCTTAACTCTTGACAAAGTGATGAGTCAGTGGTGAGTCCGTGGTAAGTCAGTGGTGAGTCAGTGGTGATTCAGTGGTGAGTCAGTGGTGAGCCAGTGGTGAGTCAGTATAGAGCCAGTGGTGAGAAAGTAGTGAGTCAGTGGTGAGTCCGTGGTAAGTCATTGGTGAGTCAGTGGTGATTCGGTGGTGAGTCAGTGGTGAGCCAGTGGTGAGTCAGTATAGAGCCAGTGGTGAGAAAGTAGTGAGTCAGTGGTGAGTCAATGGTGAGTCAGTGGTGAGTCAGTGGTGAGTCATTGGCGAGTCAGTGGTGGAACAGTGGTGAGCCAGTGGTGATTCAGTGGTGGGAGAGTGGTGAGTCAGGTGTGAGCCAGTGGTGAGCCAGTGGTAACCAAGGAAGACACGCTAAGGCAGTTTCTGCAAATGGAGCAGTCAAAAAAAGTGGAGCTTGTCATTGACACAGCCGTTGAAAAATGATACCAATGTGTAATTTCGGTAGAGAAAAGATCAAGGTTCAAGAAAACAAATGGTCATGCAGTGTTTTTTTCTTGTGGATGGGGGGGGGGGGTGGCAAAATCAAGGTCCTCCTTGGGTGGCACTTACCCTAGCCACGCCACTTTTTCTTTGTATTTGGTGCAGAAACCGACCAGACCCTGGACAGGGGGGTTGTTAAATCAAGTGGCCTAGCCAAGGTCAGCAGCCGGGCGTAAAGATCAAGGTTCAAGAAAACAAATGGTCATGCAGTGTTTTTTTCTTGTGGATGGGGGGGGGGGTGGCAAAATCAAGGTCCTCCTTGGGTGGCACTTACCCTAGCCACGCCACTTTTTCTTTGTATTTGGTGCAGAAACCGACCAGACCCTGGACATGTGAGTTGTTAAATCAAGTGGCCTAGCCAAGGTCAGCAGCCGGGCGTGTCACGCAAATGACCATGGCAGTGGCAGCCAGAAACTCAAAAATCTCCAGCTCGTAGTTTGCTGTTCACTTTAGGATCTTCACGCGATTGAACTTTGGCGTATAGTAAGGGAGAGGACAGACTGGCCATTCGATTATTTTGAACATTCGAAAATTGCGTTGACTGAAAATTACGAAATATGTTTAGGCACGACCAGTCTATATTAATAAAATATATTAAGAGTTAGCCCTGGGCCGCCACAACAGCAGGGCGTTGGCGCCCCCGTTGGATCAGAGGCGTAGAATTTAGATGTTGCTCAGGCTAAGAGTCTACTATTCGCGAGTGAAGAAGAGTGACAGTTGTGCATTATGGAAGTGATGACCCTCTCTTTGAGGAGTAGCTGAAAGTGAAGTTCTAATTAAAATGACAAGGTTGCGAAGCCAAAGCAACAGAAGGAAGCTGAAAAATACTGAAATGTTTTTTTTAAAAGTTTTTAATTATATTGCTGAATGGGAATGTTTAGAATATCTCCACAACCTCCCCTTAATCCTACACTTAATTCTCACGATCTGTGTGTCTCTCTGTGTCTGTGTGTCTCTGTGTGTGCCTCTGTGTGCCTCTGTGTGTCTGTGTGTCTCTTTTTGTGCCTCTGTGTGTCTGTGTGTCTCTGTGTGTTTGTGTGTCTCTGTCTGTGTGTGTCTCTGTGTGTCTGTGTGTCTATGTGTGTCTATGTGTGTCTCTGCGTCTTTGTGTGTTTGTGTGTCTATGTGTGACTATGTGTGTCTCTGTGTGTTTCTGTTTGTGTCTATGTGTGTCTGTGTGTCTCTGTGTGACTCTGTGTGTCCATTGGCTCAAGTGAAAGGATGTTTTTATAACTAAAACTTATAAGATAAAATAAATAACATTTTGCCACATAACACAGAACTGATGGAACAGCCCATACATTGCGGACGTACGATTTGATCAGTTGAAACTGCTTTGGTGAAAAATGATGTTTTTTTTGTTGTTTTTTTAATGAAGCTAATGACATGTTTGACATGTTTGAATCTTTGAAGGCCGGGGAATTAAGGTTTTAACTGTAAAATTTTAATGTTACACTAAAACGTAATTTTGTTGCATTATTTATAACGCTGTTACCCCAAATTACATCTTCTTCTTTCGTCTTTTGTGGCTGCGGGAATTAATTGACAAGTAATGATAGCAGCGATTCTGTGAGATCGGGTTAAAATTTGCTCGGTGCATCTCCAGGTTTGGGTAGCACGGATTTAGGGGTGGGGGGGGGGCTTGGCATCATGCGTTTACCGCACCGAATGACACCTTCCTTATTGACGCCTCTGCATTAAATATTTTGTTAATTAAAATCCTATTATTACTGAATGAGCTCGTTTTGATGAGCCTTCATTAGTCGAAACTATCCTCATTGAAACTTGTTTTCGTCAAATGTATCACATCTCGGGTCGCTATGCTTTCATATAAATGTGGTTGTTATTTGAAAACGATTGAGAGCCTGTGTCCCAGAGCTACTAAATTAATAATTTAGCATAATGTACAAGATCTTCAATGTCCTGGCAGATAGTGGTCTTTTCTTTAGTGAGTAGCCGAATTTTCCCTGCATGGAGGATTTTTTTAAAAAAATATTTTCTTACATGAAACAAAAATATATACCGGAATATCGTTTGGGAGTCCCTGGCAGACTTTCCATTTATTTAAAAGTTAATACAGTTTGGCGTCTTGCTCCTGAAAATGCGCACATATAGGGAATAGACACAATAGACACAATAGACACAAT